CCCCAAAACCCCAAAACCCCAAAACCCCAAAACCCCAAAACCCCAAATCTCTCATAATTCCGAGTTTATTAATATTATAATTACTAGAAGTGATAAATATGAAAATGAGCAAGAGTAACCTAAAAATTGACAGGAACATCAGGATTTCCTTCCTCCAGGATCATAGTAGGCTACTTTTTCATAATATTTACCTTGCTGATGGTTGAATGCTTTGTTCCTTTTAGCTATTGGGCCTATTTCTGGAGTTTCAGGATTGATATAATTTATAGAAGGACAGCTTAAATATTGCAAAAACAATTTTAAAATCCTTGGGCAAAAGTTTAGAGACAAAGATTTGGCACTTGCTAACTGCAAATCACATCCTCAAGAGGCCTCTGCAGAGCCCCGTGATCAAAGGAGTGAGAGGAGCAAGAACATTTTTGTGCATGGGCATAAATTCCAAAATCCTTTCTATACTAGAAAGATGCTTGTAAATCTTAACAAGCTTGCGCCTAGATCTTTCTCTGAGGAGAAAGCTAGGGGCCATCAAAGGTAGGATAACTTTTCTGACTCAAAGACAGTCATTTTTCTTTGTTTTTGGTAATTTCCCATTATGTGAAAGATCTGATATTAATCAAAAGTTCTAGGAAGAGACATATGAAAAGAGATAGCAAATCGTTCATGAAAATGAACCCATGTCATTCCCATGTGGGTAGTGACTCGATTGTGCAGAACACAGATCTGATGCAGGAGACTGCACGATTCACTTTTATGAAACAACATAGTAAGTTAGAAATTCCGAACTGACTTCTCTAATTTTATCGGTGGAAAAGACAATAACCTTTTTAGATGAAGAGCAGAGCTTACCTAATTACTTAAATGAAAGAAAGCAGATGGAAAAGTCTCTGGTTATGCCTATCTTTAACCACCCAGATAAGGACTTTGAGCTGCCTCAGAGAGTCGAGATGAAAGGTAAAACCCGATTTTTCGTTTGGCTTCGAAACCTTGTTTCTACTATATTTTCGAGTTTAGTTTGCAATAGAGTTAACTATTTGGTTTAGAGCCGATAAATATGAAATATAAGGACAGGATCAGGATGCAAAGCGATCAAAATACCAAGAGAAAAATTAAAGACGTTAATCTGAGTACTCTAAGAAATGACTGTTATGTTTAGATATCGGCAAAATTCGGGAGAACAATATGATTAGGCAGAATCTGAAACAACTGTATGCTAATGGCCATCATAGGCATCATAGCGATGTCACTGGGATGTATTCCCAGGGAATGGACTTTTCAACCAAAAACCCTTTTGAAGTCGAGAATAAAAGTAGGATCAAGAAGCAATTATCAAATAAGCAACAAATCATTCGTGAAGTGTTCTCGCCTCCAAGCAAGGTCCGGAGGAGGAGACAGAAAGTCTCTTATGACTCTGAAGCTAATTATGGTCATGATTTCACTGATGAAAGATCTTTTGATGAGAGAAATTATACCCCTGGACTTAACCTTAATGGTAGTTTTAAGGAGAAAGACAGAGAGATCTTTCCAAGAAACTATACTTCTGAAGGGGGTACTGTTAGAACTAGGTTTAACACTTCTGAGACAGATACTATCCAATCTTTACCTGGCATCCACAGGCAGGATGGGTATGACATTCTTCAGGACCATGTCGATACAATGACTTCGAATAAATTGAAACTTGTCCATATCACTCCGAATGAATATAAAAAGAGGATGAAAGATATAGCAGACCTTTGGATCATCTCTTCTGAAAGGGAAACCAGCATCTAAGCTCAGGTATCTACCTTTCCTAGAAGAATAGTGAGACCAGGATGGATATCACATTGAAAGATGTAGAAGGCTCATTTAACCTACTCTGTAGATAATTTATAAAAAACTTCTAACAATGATCTTGCATGTTGTAATTATACAAAACTCAATTAAATTATGAGTGAAGGGGTTTTGGGGTTTTGGGGTTTTGGGGTTTTGGGG